AACTGACCAATGATAGATAGCAGCCAATACCAGCTCAAGTTACCTTCAACTGCTCTTTATGAACAGCTAACAGAGATCTGTGCACACACTCTCATTCTCTATCACACCCATCAGGACACAGGTAGTGAGTGCCTAAGTGCTACAACCAGCAAACAGAGGAGAACAGTACCCTGCTTACACAGATATATCAAAACAAAATAAAGGAAAAAAAAGACTTGTGTGAATCACATCCCCATACAACCACAAATTAAACATAAGTATAATAATACCACAATGTCTCAGAGACAATAAACCATCACAGTCCACACAAAAAAGATAAAGTAGTAGAAACATGGGATAAGGATATAAACCCAAAGAAACCATCCCCAAGTAAGAAGCAGCATCCCTGATGAGGGATTCGAAAGCATTATATTTAGGTACTGTCGATGGATTGAGAGACAGATCAAGGAAAACACTGACAAGATCAAGGAAAACATTGACAAAATTAAGGAAAACACAGAACTCTAGAACAATTTAGGAAAACAATTCAAGAATAAACTGACAAGATAAATTAAAAATTAGAAACCATAAAAAACAGCAAATAGAAATCCAGAAGATTAATACTAAGAATTCAGAAACAGTAACACATTGAATGGGTAAAGGAGTAGAATTAAATCAATGGAGGGCAGAATTAACAAGTTTGAGGACAAATACCTCAATATTACTTTGTTAAGGGATCAATCAGACAAAAGACCAAAACATAATGAAGAAACCCTAAGATTCATGTGGTATACCATCAAAAGGGGAGCTCTGGTAGCATAGTGGCTAAGGCACTTGACTGCTAACCAGAAGGCTGGCGGTTCAAACCCACCAGCCACTCCTCGGAAGAAAGGTTGGGCAATCTACTTCCGTAGTGATACTGCCTTGGAAACCCAAGGAGGGGTCGCTATGAATCGGGTCCGACTCGACGGCACATAACAACAACAACCATCAAAAGGAATAACCTACATGTAATCGGAATTCCAGAACAGGAAAGAGACAGATAAAACTAAAGATTTGTTGGAACAGAATTTCCCTAATATGATGAAAGACAAGAATGTATCCACTCAAGAAGTTTAATGACCCTAAACAGGATAGACCACAAAAGAAAAACACTAAGATATATCATCATCAAATTCACCAAAACCAAAGACTAAGAAATAATCCTAAAAGCAGCACAGGAAAAAGGAAAAACAACCTGCAAAGGGGAACCAATAAGACTAAGCTCTGATTTCTTCTCATGCAGTGAGAAGGCAATGGGATGATATATATAAAACCTTGAAAGAAAAAAAATTTCCAACCAAGAGTTAAATACCCAGAAAAATTGTATATCAAATATAAGAGTGAAATTAGGAGATTTCCAGATAAGCAGAAATTAGGGGAATTTGTTAAAACCAGACCAACTTTACAAAAGATGTTAAAGGGAGTCCTTTGGTCAGAGAACCAACAACAGCAAAGAACAACTGATGATTAACACATATGATGACATAACCCAGAAGCCAACCCAGTTATAGAAGTATCCAAAAGAAAAGAACCTCACACGACTGTAAAGAGGGAAGTAGAGACATCAATTGGTAAATGAGGACCACTATAAACCCAGAAGAGGGAATAAATAGAGTAGTTACAGAACTTCTAAATAGTGAGGAAATGAGACAACTGGGAGATACGACAGACTGTTTTAAACTTGGGAAGAAAATTTTAAATTATAGGGTCACCCCAAAGAAAAATAATAAATCTTCACATCAAAATTAAAAGAGGAAAAGCACAAATACTTAGCAAATACTAAAACAATAGCAATGAAGGAAATGATAACATGACTCATAAACAAAATGAGCTCAGCACAGAAAATTATGTGGAACAAAGAAATCAGCAACACCACACACACACACAAAAAAGCCACATAACAAAATGACATCAATAAATTCATAGTTGTTGATTATTACACTGAATGTCAATGGATTAAATGCACCACTCAAGAGATGGAGAGTTGCAGACTGGGTAAGAAAACATGACCCATCAATATCCTGTCTATAAGACACTCACCTTAGACACAAAGACAAAAATAGACTAAAAATCAAAAGTTGGAAAAAGATATACCAAGCAAATGGCAACCAAAAGAAAGCAGGAGAATTTCTGATAATATAGACTTTAAGACAATATGACCATAACAGACAAGGAAGAACATTATTTAATGATTAAAGGATCAGTTGAACAAGAGGACATAACCATAGTAAATATCTATGTACCCAATGAAGGGACCCCAAAATACATAAATCAGATTTTAACAGAATTGAAAAGACAAATAGATTACAGTAATAGTAGGAGACCTTAATATACCACTTTTAATAAAAGATAGAACAACTGGAAAGAAACTCAATAAAGATACAGAAGAACTAAACAATATGATCAACCCACTTGACATTATAGATATCTACAGAGCACTTCACCTAACAATAGCAAAATATACATTCTTTTCCAGTACACATGAAACACTCTTCAGGACATGTTAGGCCACAAAGCAAGCCTTAATAAATTTAAAAACATTGAGATACTGCAAAGCATCTTCTCAGATCCCAGTGCTATAAAATTAGAAATCAACAATAGGAAGAACAACAGAAAAAGAGAAAACACATGGAAACTGAGTAACACCCTCCTCAAAAACAAGTGGGTAATAGAAAAAATGAAAAATGTAATTAAAAAATTCCTTAAATGAGAATGAAAACACAACATACCAATGAAAACACAACATACCAATGAAAACACAAAATAGCAAAAATCTTCAGGACACAGCAAAAGCAGTGATCAGAGGACAATTTAGGGCAAAGATGCACACATCAAAAGAGAAAAAAGAGCCAAAGTCAACACCTTAGGCACACCCCCCCAACAATTAGAAAAAGAACAGGAAAAAAGCCTACAGTCACCACAAGAAAAGAAATACTAAGATTCAAGCAGAAATAAAGGAAATAGAAAATAGAAATAGAAAAATCAACAAGACTAGAAGTTGATTCTTTGAAAAGATTAATAAAATTGGCAAACTTAAGAAAGGAAAAGGAGGAGAAGATGTAAATAACAAGAATAAGAAATTAAAGGGGTGACGTCACAATGAACCAATAGAAATAAAAAGAATAATACTAGGATACTACAAAGAACTGTATGTCAACAAATTTGAAAAACTAGAAGACGGACCAAGTTCTAGAAACACACTACTTACCTAAACTAATACAGACTGAGGTAGAAAACTTGAACAGACCCATAACAAAAGAAGAAATTGAATGGGTCAAAAAAATTACCAGCAAAAAAAGTCCTGGCCAGAAGCTTTCACTGAAGAATTCTATCAATCATTCAGAGAAGAGCTGACACCAACCTACTCAAACTATTCCAGAACATAGAAAAGGATGGAATCCTCCCAAATTCATTTTATAGAGCAAGCATAACCCTGATACCAAAACCAGACAAAGAAACCACTAGAAAGGAAAACTACAGACCAATATCACTCATGAAAATAGATGCAAAAATCTTCAACAAAACCCTAGCAACAAACTCTAACAACAAATCAAAAAAATAACACATCATGATCAAGTGGGATTCATACCAGGTATGCAAGGATGGTTCAACATTAGAAAAACAATCAACGTAATTCATCACATAAGTAAAATAAAGGAAATGAATGACACAGTCATATCAATAAATGCACAAAAGACATTTGATAATATCCAACATCTACTCCTGAAAAAAACTCTGAAAAACAAGAATAGAAGGGAAATTC